GGGCCAATATATGTATGTATATCTGTATGTTTGTGATTAGCGACTTATCTATATGCTTTTTTGTCTGTAACAGTAAGAACAAGCGGATTTCGAAGGGAAAGAAGAGTGGAAAGAAGAAAGCGTAAGTGTTTGAAAATCAAATCTCTGAACAATTTCAATCACAGATCATTCCATTTTTTTTCTGATTTGTTCCTATATTTTTGGTAATAGAGCTGATCCGTTTGCGAAGAAGGACTGGTATGACGTCAAGGCTCCGTCCATCTTCAGTGTCAGAAACGTTGGCAAAACTCTCGTCACCCGCACTCAGGGTACTAAGGTAATTTTGCTGATTTCATCCAATCACTCTTTTTTTTTTCCTTTTTTTTTATCAATGATATATGTTTTTGCGGGGTGAAAATGTATTGGCCCATTTGGTTTTCTGAATAATTTTATTAGATCTGTCTAGCTGTGGAATAAATGCATGAAGTTTTGTAATGGTAACGAATACACGTATTCGTTGGTAAATTTATGGTGGCTATGTTATTATGTGTAGATAAATCTGTATTGGGTTTTTTTTGTTTTTGCTGCTGATTCTATCTGAAACTTTTTTTTTATTAAACCTCATATAAGTTGATCCAGTTTGTTGTGATGTCCCATTTGTCTATGCTGCTTTTTTCCTATTCATCTATCTGAGTTTATGTGTACATTGATCTAAGAGAATTTTAGCATGAAAAGATAGCTAATCAGAAAAATGAATGCAGCTGTCACTGATTGCTGACGATGTTGTAATAGTTAGATTTCTTATTTCTTGTTTTAAGATGCATAAATGTGGTTCTACCCCGGTCATTGTTTCCATTTATCACCCTTGCTATTTAAGGGAAACAGTGTGCCTAATTGATTTTACTATCATTGCTCACATAGTTGAGATGTAAAAGTTGAACTCTATATGTTCATAGTGTCAACTTGGTGAAAAGGCTTGACTAATAATCAGTCGTGTTAAAAAACTTGTAGGCATGCTTCTGTTTGTAGCATGCCATGCATTCTTTAGTTATTTGTCTGTTGTAGGTTGGTGGTTCATTTTACATAGTTTATTGTTCAATATACGATTGTGTGTAGCATACCCTTCGATAGGCACTTTTCTATAATTTTCATAGTAGTATTTGTGCGGCATTGCCTGCCATTGTAAGGTGTAGGAATAGGTTTAAAGCGAATCGGTCTCCTGAGGTCCTAGGCAAGAAGCGAAGTGAATGTCTCATCGCAGCAAAGCGAATAATATAAAAAATTAGCAAATATTTTAGTTTAATACTTTGATAACTCCTAAATATTCAAGTTTTAACTTTACAAATACAAAATATTAAAATGCAACCAAAATAATAAACATTTACATATTTTAAATAAACAAGATATTAAATATTAAATATTATTGTATTCTAAAAATAATCAATTGACATAATCATGTCATCTAAATAGAAAGTTAGCAAATGTGGGTTCGACTCCCACCGTGATTGATTAGTATCACCACTAAATAATACACTCACAAATTGATTAATTAAATAGAGCATATAGTAAATTGATTAATCAATTTGATTAACCAAGCAAATTGATTAATAAGAGTATTCACCACAAGACGAAGCATTCAACATCATCTAATCATAACAAGACAGATTATCATATGATATTTTCAAATGAATCAATCTATTTATTTTATACATCTATATAATAAAACACTTAGAAGTTTGAAAGTTTATCCCCTATATATTTTGTCTCTAAAAAAATCACATTACCTAATTTTACCATATGTTCAATAATTTAATATTTAATTAATTTGTAATTTAACACAATTTTTATTTCATACATTGTTCATACACGATAGTGTACACATGTTGAAAAATTTTTGTTGGGTTATACATTTTGGGAAAATTTTTGACGTTATTTTTTAAAAAATAATAGGTAAAAATTAATTTTAAATGATGTAATCAAAGAAACAAAAAAATAAAAAATTATTCTTAAGTATAATATAATGGAATCAATTTTTTGAGTGTTTGAATTTTATGTTTTATCGTGCATTTAGGCACGGGTTATGGTTAGTATACATATATAAACATCATCTCTGCTAGGTTTTAGTTGATGTTAAAGGAGGAAGAGGAGGGGGGGAGGGAGAAAATAAAAAAAATTGCAATTAGGCTTTCATTTTTTTTNTTCTGTTTGTAGCATGCCATGCATTCTTTAGTTATTTGTCTGTTGTAGGTTGGTGGTTCATTTTACATAGTTTATTGTTCAATATACGATTGTGTGTAGCATACCCTTCGATAGGCACTTTTCTATAATTTTCATAGTAGTATTTGTGCGGCATTGCCAGCCATTGTAAGGTGTAGGAATAGGTTTAAAGCGAATCGGTCTCCTGAGGTCCTAGGCAAGAAGCGAAGTGAATGTCTCATCGCAGCAAAGCGAATAATATAAAAAATTAGCAAATATTTTAGTTTAATACTTTGATAACTCCTAAATATTCAAGTTTTAACTTTACAAATACAAAATATTAAAATGCAACCAAAATAATAAACATTTACATATTTTAAATAAACAAGATATTAAATATTAAATATTATTGTATTCTAAAAATAATCAATTGACATAATCATGTCATCTAAATAGAAAGTTAGCAAATGTGGGTTCGACTCCCACCGTGATTGATTAGTATCACCACTAAATAATACACTAACAAATTGATTAATTAAATAGAGCATATAGTAAATTGATTAATCAATTTGATTAACCAAGCAAATTGATTAATAAGAGTATTCACCACAAGACGAAGCATTCAACATCATCTAATCATAACAAGACAGATTATCATATGATATTTTCAAATGAATCAATCTATTTATTTTATACATCTATATAATAAAACACTTAGAAGTTTGAAAGTTTATCCCCTATATATTTTGTCTCTAAAAAAATCACATTACCTAATTTTACCATATGTTCAATAATTTAATATTTAATTAATTTGTAATTTAACACAATTTTTATTTCATACATTGTTCATACACGATAGTGTACACATGTTGAAAAATTTTTGTTGGGTTATACATTTTGGGAAAATTTTTGACGTTATTTTTTAAAAAATAATAGGTAAAAATTAATTTTAAATGATGTAATCAAAGAAACAAAAAAATAAAAAATTATTCTTTGGTATAATATAATGGGATCAATTTTTTGAGTGTTTGAATTTTATGTTTTATCGTGCATTTAGGCACGGGTTATGGTTAGTATACATATATAAACATCATCTCTGCTAGGTTTTAGTTGATGTTAAAGGAGGAAGAGGAGGGGGGGAGGGAGAAAATAAAAAAAATTGCAATTAGGCTTTCATTTTTTTTCGCATGGCTCGCTTCTTTGCTTCGTTACCTAGGCTCGTTTTTTTCTCACTTTACTTAACCTCGCTTCGCCTTAGTTGTTTAAGGCGACCAAGGCTCGCTTTGCTTCTCTCTTCACAACACTGGGTGTTTCTATGGTGTTTTCCTTGTTTTAAGCTTAACTCTCAGGAACTGGCAGGCAGTTTAAGCTTGCCTTAACTTGTGCGGCTTGCAACCATATGATTATTATCGCTAGACTTGAATATAATTTTAGCATATTTCACCGACAGGAAAAAAGATCAACTATTAAACAACCCAACTGTCTCATCAAGGAATAGATCAACTATCAAACAACCCAACTGTCTCGTGAAGGAATAGAAGAAGCAAAAGGGGATGAATTTTAAAGTTGGGTTATTATCGTAACCCAACTGTTTCTTATTTTTTGTGTTTGCAAAATTTGAAATAGGCTGTGTTTTTTAGATTTCCCACAAGGAGTTGGAATACCTCTTATTATGCTTTCGATTGTAAGAAAATGTTACTTGTGTACCCATAAGGATACATTTATTCCATTCAAGTCCATTTCTTATTCATGTTCTCTCTCAGATTGCTTCAGAAGGACTTAAGCATCGTGTGTTTGAGGTATCCTTGGCTGACCTTCAGGGTGATGAGGACCATGCCTACAGAAAGATTAGGTTGAGAGCTGAGGATGTTCAAGGGAAGAATGTTCTGACAAACTTCTGGGTATGATCAAGGACTAAACATCTTATTTTTCCCTTCTTTCTATGTGCATAACACTTATCTCATGGTTGCTGTCTTATTTTTTCTATTGTTTTATTTTGTTCTGGAAATTGTAGGGCATGGATTTTACTACGGACAAGTTGAGGTCACTTGTGCGAAAATGGCAATCATTGATTGAGGCTCATGTCGATGTGAAGACAACAGACAACTATAGTTTGAGGATGTTCTGCATTGGCTTCACTAAGAAGCGTGCGAACCAGCAGAAGAGGACCTGTTATGCGCAATCTAGCCAGATACGCCAGGTAAATTGTCATTACAGTCGAGAATGTTGTTTTTCATCCTTGTGGATTATGCTTTCATTCGTATTCTTTTAAGGTTTAAAATTAGAAAAGTTTGCAATGAGTTATACTTGTTAGTCCTATCAAAAGGGGCTTATTCTGATGATCAATTTTTTTTGTACAATTGCTCTGTTATATTGTTTTGATGTTTGTATCTCTGCCTGCAGGGAAATAATTAAATATCACCTCCTATGTTTTCTGTTTTTGTTAGATTCGCCGGAAGATGAGGGAGATCATGGTCAGCCAGGCTCAATCTTGTGATCTGAAGGAGTTAGTCCAGAAGTTCATTCCAGAGTCAATTGGCCGGGATATTGAGAAGGCAACTTCAAGCATCTACCCTTTGCAGAATGTTTTCATCCGGAAGGTCAAGATCTTGAAGGCTCCAAAGTTTGACCTTGGGAAGTTAATGGAGGCAAGTTTCTTGTATACTCTGCCTTATTTCTTACTGTGGTCGAATTGGGCTGGATACAGCTAATGTGGTCGAGCCATCAATTTAGTTTGTAACCTAATTTTCATTTGACCTTTCTTTGTAAATTGGTTCGGTTGTGCAGGTCCATGGTGATTACTCAGAAGATGTTGGTGTAAAGTTGGAAAGGCCTGCTGAGGAGCCAATGGCCGAGGCAACTGAAGTAGTTGGAGCTTAAGTAAAAGTTTTGCAAATCTCCTTATTGGCATGTCATTTGGTTCCTACAATTTCCTTAAATGAGACACTAAAATAATGTCAGGTTCTTTGTTATATTTATTTTTGTTTGAGTGATTAGAAGTGAATTTTGCCATGAAAGAAAATATTTTTGTGCAATGAGTCTACCCAATAGTTCCTAGTATTTTAATTTTACACTTTTATATTCTTCCTATTTGCTGGATGTAATGTGTTAAACAAGTGTGGATCCTTGTTGTCCTTAATGTGTTTGATCTTGAGTCTTTATTTAATTTTGTGACGCTTAGGAATCATCCATCTCTTCCTTCTTGACCTTTTATTTTGGTTTGCTGGTAGAATGGGCAAAGGAGAGCACCTGACCCTCACTGATGGGATCATGAGGCCCTTATTCATGTCTGTTACTCCTTTTAGAAATGAAGCTAGCATAGCGAAGAACCACCGAGCCCTAATGTAAACTTCAAGATCTTCCTTCATGACCTTGAATCATTGGTCTTAATACTAAAATTTACCACAATGCCTTCTGAGAATGCCTAGATGCTGTAGCAGTTTTGCATATCTGATGTTCAGGGAATTGGTTGAACATCAAGAGGAGTATGTGTGCTCGAGTACCTTGTCCCTGCGGATTTGCTTGATTCTTCTGTTTAGGTGAGTGTGTAGTTTTATGACCTTTGTCCACTGTTTATGTCCCAATTAACCATTTTCGGGCAACCTAGCAGAGAATAGGTGCATCTACTTTTGTAGTGCTGAAAATGTCCAAATACTGAAAGAGCTGGGAAAGCGTTTTGNAAAGGAGTATGTGTGCTCGAGTACCTTGTCCCTGCGGATTTGCTTGATTCTTCTGTTTAGGAGAGTGTGTAGTTTTATGACCTTTGTCCACTGTTTATGTCCCAATTAACCATTTTCGGGCAACCTAGCAGAGAATAGGTGCAACTACTTTTGTAGTGCTGAAAATGTCCAAATACTGAAAGAGCTGGGAAAGCGTTTTGAAGCTGCTTTTGCTCAATCAGAAGAACACTTACAATATCAATGGTACAAGCCACGTTCAAGTGTGACATGGGAGCCCATTTCTTACTGTTTTCGCATGGGGAGAGTTCTTGCATAACAGGTTTTCTCAACAAAAGAACAATCATATATGCAATGGCAGTCAAAAACGAGGGTTTGTTGGCCACTGGAGATGAAAATGGGATTGGAAGAGTGGTCTTTTCCTTCTTTCTTCTTTCGAAATTAGAAGAAAGGAGGATTCGCTCGATTCTATAGATGACATAATATATATTTCTGTAGATAAGATACTATTGAGGAACAGAAGGTGACANAATCGCTCGATTTTATCGATGACATAATATATATTTCTGTAGATAAGATACTATTGAGGAACAGAAGGTGACAAGACTATCAAGATGTGGAAGGAGGATGAAAGTGCAACCCTTGATACTCATCCCTTCAACTTCAAGCATCCTAAGGAAATCTTGCGGTTTTAAGAGTATTTTGTTCTTCTCTAATGTTGATTCACCTTATTTCCTGATAAAATTTTATTAAAAACCCTGCGGTATTTAGCCCAAAGTTCATTTTGTTCTTTAATGAACTGTATTGTGTTTGCTTCAATTTGAACTTATTTTAAGGGCTTGTCGTTGTATTCCAACTAAAAAGATGACACCCATCTTATAATCCCATAGGGCAACCCTCCCCACCTTTTGTAGGACGTGACATTGTGCTCTCGTAGTTGGAGCTTTGCCAAGTACCTTTCTGGGGTAAATCTAGCCAGACAAGACAGCAGTATCACTTAGCTTANCTATTGGGCAACCCTCCCCACCTTTTGTAGTGCTCTCGTAGTTGGAGCTTGCCAAGTACCTTTCTGGGGTAAATCTAGCCAGACAAGACAGCAGTATCACTTAGNCCATAGGGCAACCCTCCCCACCTTTTGTAGGACGTGACATTGTGCTCTCGTAGTTGGAGCTTTGCCAAGTACCTTTCTGGGGTAAATCTAGCCAGACAAGACAGCAGTATCACTTAGCTTAAGCAGTATCACTTAACAGGCTCAAAAAAAGAAAAGAATCTTCTATAAGTAAAACAATTTGACAGGTCTGAAACATAGTTGATTATTACAGAAACAATAACTATTATACAGGCATAGAAGGCAAGCTCAAAGGGTATACAACTAAACAACATAACCACTAACTACAGTAAGATTGAAAGGACTCCATCCAAGTTCACCAAACTAGTGACTATCTCAATGTTTTGGGGTGAGTGAAGGAAAGGAAGGAATTGATTGCAAAATCAGCTTCCGGCTGCTCCTCTGACCAGGGGATAATCCAAAGTCGCAGTGGGGAGGAGAGACTCTCTTATTGTTGGGAGATGCAGACTTGACACCACTGATAGGAGAACAGTTCCCATGAAGAATTTCAGGCATTTCATCTTCTCGAACCGTTTGAAAATGCTTCTCAAACTTGGTTGGTGGTTGACAAAAACTTGGCTTTCCAGATCTTTGGCTACCATACAACCCAGAAGAGGATCCGATGGAAAGAAAAGAAGATCTTGGCAGTTTAAACTTCGAGGAAAATGGCTGCTGAGCCAATTGTCTGAGACACAAAATATCAATTAAAATCTGGAAATAATAGGAGCCAGCAATTTCACTCCACAGCTGCTCATACCTGGAAAATTGTGTAGGCGTTACAGGTAGAACAGAGTCTGTATTCTGCTTAGCATCATTCTGGATTACAAATTTATGTGAACTGCTTTCTACCACACTCTTTTCACTTGTTTCTGTTTGCTCTTCTTCTAGTTCAGCCTCTGTTTCTATTAGAGCAGATCCTAATAAATGAGGCAAAAGAAATGGTGAAGACTAAAATGCAATGGTATGCATGACTGCATCAGCGAAACTGGTAACATGACAGAAGACATAAAAATTCAAGAGGAAAGGCACACGGCCTGAAAAGATAAGAAAAAGGGGGAAGGTAGTTGATTGAAGTGGTAAAAAGCATTAAAATAAAATTTTCATTGATGTTTGAAAGCACGCATACCAACTTTTCTGCCAAACGTATTCTTGCACCCTTCACATCTGCAGTTAATGGAGCACCCAACACCACCCTTCAAAGAAAAATCAATTCTCAATCAGCTGATAAAGAACAACAAAAGTATATAGACTACATCAAGAGAGAAAAACCTGATAGCATTCACAGTATTTCTTTAGGCAACCAGATTTCTTGCAGTTGCATCCTCTTTTATGCCGTGCTGAAGCAGGAGTCTTGCTGGAGTGATCCTGTGAGAACAAGGACCATTAATCGACACATGGTCTTTCAGAATAAAGGTGTATGCAAATTTAAAAAACCAAATTTTGTGTTCTAACCCCAATTTCAGGAACGGCATCAATGCTTCTAACCACTTTTGGAGCAAACGCAAGGGGATTGCGAGATTCAATCTGTTTCCGAGTTTCCAGAACAGTATCTTCATGAACAGGTTTGTTAAAGCAATCTTGACATGAACATGGTTCCACACAATAGAGACCAGCAGCAAAGCATTCACAGTAACTGCAATGGAAAGTTCAATAGGTTCATCATGTGAAAAATGATAAGGTTTCTTCCCCATACAGGTTTTATGGTGAACAGGTGAAGTAACACCAAAGAGCTTTGTCTATAGTGTTAGTAAGGCTATCCTTATGCATGGGCTACCAGAGTTTTACTTGACTTTCCAAACAGGGTTCATTCACTTGTGCGATGAATTTCTTCTCTCGTTTTCAAATCAATCTTTGTTTTATCTACAAATTAGATTGATTATTCTATATGGGTAAATTCCTAAGGTCATAAAAAACATCGTGTTGCTCTTACATAATATTCACATCATAGGACAAATGGCCAATATTTGTACCTCAGACATGGAGCCATAGAAAACAATGGCTACTCTCAAATAATATCAGAGATGATAATGAAGAAAGAAATTAACAGAAAGATGTATATCAAACCACCAACTTTTTGGCTGGCATCTTCAAACCTTGATATACAAGAATAAGACACAAGAAAACCGTTTTTAACCATAAAAACAGAACTTTACACAATGGTACAACAGCTAAATTTTGAACTCAACATAGTCAGCTCCATTGGCCAACCATGGCAAGAGACCAAATTACGTAGGAAGCTTATCAATTCAGCCATACACTAACCAAAAAATTGATTTCCAATCCAAATCAGTTATTGCATAACACAAGTCAAGTAAATAGTAAGCAGGACATTATGCGGAAATTTTGTGACAACTTTAAGGAAAAGAAAGAACTTACAGCTTCAAGCATTTTGATTTTTTACAGTTACAACGCTTGCAGGACTCAGTTTCTCCAGCATGTTCGAACCTACGCCTGAAAATCCAATTAAACCTGTCAAAGTGGAAAACAAAATTGCAATAGAACGGAAAATTTTATCAAGAATATGACACCTGCCTCTTTTTCTTTGGGCTACTTTGATTGAACTCTTCATTGACTACATAGCCAGATACCTGAGAAGCCTCTTCCAACCCCGAAGCTCCGTTTTCAACAGGACCCAAGTCTATTTCTGAAGACGTCACAGCCACAGAACTGTTTAATGGTTCTTGAAATGAAGCACTGGATTCTGGTGCCGATAATAGTTGTATTCCAGAAGCCAAAGCTTCATGCTTTACAACCTTGTAGTCCTTTGAAGTTGTTGCAAGAGCATTTAAATGCAATCCGATTCCAGGTAAAATGCACCGTGAAGAATCATTGGTGGGCTTTAGATGAGCTAGTTGCTTATCATTGGAACTAACGTTTCCATCAGGTAGTGATAACATGGTAGAACCACAACTTGAACCCTCCTCTAAATGCTTTCTGCGAGCCCCCGTCATCTCAAAAACCAGACAGCGTCTTCTCATGCCACGGTACAAATTAGAAACAGGCTACACAGAAGCAGACCAAACCAAAATGTCAGGTTAAAATGTTCAAAAATAAATACATTACGTCTGCCCACTATATAGCACAAAATCTAGCACCTCAAAGCTACTATTGTAGTGCTCCATTGTGCATGTGTGATCTAATAGTCATCCTAATCGCTTAGAAGGGTCACAAAAGAAAAAAAAATATATCATCTCCAGTATCTGCTAGCAAAGGAAAAACAAAAGCTACACGGAAGCAGACCCAACCAAAATGTCAGATTAAAAACTTAAAATGACGGAAAACAAATCCAATCATCTGCCCGCTCTGTGGCACACTCTAGCACCTCAAAGCTGCAAGCAAATTTAACTAGCCCCCCGAGGATTGAGCAAAAGCAGAATCCATTCCAAAGTTTACTCTGGCAC